AGCAAGCGACTCAATACTTTTCCTCTTGGAGTTGGCGTCCTGGGGCGGTATTCAATCCTTCCCCCAGGGGTTGGGGGACGGAAATCCCTTTAAATTTATTTGTTTTGAACGATGTAGTTTCTTCATTTTCAATGCATGTTACTTGACATACATACATACATTAAACGTAGGCCCTTTATCAGGACAATCCCAGTTGGGAAGACAGGGAAAATTTAAAGGGATTTCCGTCCCCCAACCCCTGGGGGAAGGATTGAATACCGCCCCTAATGGTCATCGTAGTGACGTAGCTTGTATTTGAATTGCTTTTTAGCTTCAAATTGTAATCCGTGAAGGTGGTTGTGAAAGGAGCGGAACAGGGACATTTGAAAATGTCAGTCCCTTGCTTTGCGCCCTTCGGTGCGAAGCAAGCACATCGTGAGGCAGGGGAGTGTGGGATTGAGGGTGGGACGAGTCATTTGACATGGTGTATGCTGGATTATGCGACCAATAGCGTCTCGTACTTCATAGCAGTGATCACCAGTTCCCATTACAGGTATTTCATGCCAACCATATTCAAAGAAACTGAAGTGCCCATACAACCAGTACTGCCCTCTGCATCAATGACTTGGCACGCCTTTGAAGCCCTGGGAGAGAACCATGATATGTCCAAGAAATTTACCTCTAACGATAAGATTCTGAGACATGGTATTGAGCTACCACGTTGCCCGATCATGCACCTCTCAGGTATCTGACTTACGAGCAGATCTCAGTAAATGGCTCTTTGCACATGCATTAGACACGGAGGGAGAGTTATTGTCCACCAGGGTAAACTACTGGCTCCCAGACAATACCTAGCCTAAACTACTGTCACCTTGGTGTGGCTGTCGTTCATAGATCTTCGATAGTAGACAACACCACATTCTTTAGCCATTCAAACTTGAGCGTGATTATCAGTAATAAAAAGGGCGTAGTGCGATCGTCTTCCGTGGAAGCGTAAGCCTTCTCCTAATAGCACTTTTTGAAGCGTCAATCTGTGATTTCACTGGAAATTTCCGTGGCAGAAAGTGGTATAGAGTTTTTGACGCATTCCAAGGCAGTATCAGCTCCTGATTCAAGCCGTCATGGAGCGGTGTCAATCCGATCTATATACCTATATACCTATACCTATATACCTATATACCTATACCTTTCAGCGTAATCGCCGAATTGTTGAATCTCTTGATCGCTTGATCCGATTTTCGGATCGATACGTATGCTTTCCTATCAGCGTAGTCGCCAAATCGCACAAATCCGAGCCATGAACGGGACCTAAGTGACACATTACGTTCAAAAAAGTGTAATTTCTTCGGAAACTTTGTAGACGGTAAACATGGCATATGGGTCCCATCGCAACTACACTGCGTTCAATAATGATACAGCCACCTAAAATTTGTTCGAAAACTTAAAGTTCATAGAGTTTCTGAAAAACTGTCCAGATAGAAAATGTGACAAATTTCATGGCGAGTTCAGATATCAACACAAAAATCCATGTTGAAAACACTAAAAATTTTGTGCTTATTTTTTCAGAAGAGGTCGATTTTCCTATGTTCAAAAATGATACAGCCACCCCGTGTTTCTTCGTTGAAATTCATTTTTGCTTCATGAAACTGATTCGCAGTTATCAGGCTTTCACCTTAATGTTCCCACAAGATAAAAAAGACAGTTTAGTTTTGAAAAAGGTAAACTGTAGCAAAAAAGGACCAGGAATCGTCAAGCAGTCATATTGCGCAAAAATTGAGTCAAAGCTCCAATACGGTTAACAATCTTTTCTGGAATCCTGTAGGTTATGGAACAAAGAAGAGCTCTGGATGTTCATCATTGCTTTTTGGTCAATTTAAACTTCGCATTTTGGGGAAACATTTCAATTTCATCGAACAGTGCCCGGAATTCCAGTCTTCTTTCAGAATTAAACTTTCAATGGATATTGTTTGGGATGTGTTGAAGATTTTCCGAGGTCATTCTTCAATGGAGAATCAAAGAAACCTTGTTTGTGAAAAGAAATTCTCTCGAAAACTGAGACATTTTTTGCTCGAAAGTGTAGCCACGTCCACTGGAGCAAGATCAGTTCTTTTGTCTGTTGTGTCTTACTTTCTGTTTACTTTCTTTTGAGTTTTTCCTTCCTCATTAAGGGTTTTCCCTTTCATTAGACTCCTATGAAGCGAAAAACATTGAGAGAAACGCAGAAAGTAAGACACAACAGACAAAAAACTGATCTTGCTCCAGTGGACGTGGCTACACTTTCGAGCAAAAAATGTCTCAGTTTTCGAGAGAATTTCTTTTCACAAACAAGGTTTCTTTGATTCTCATCGAAGAATGACCTCGGAAATCTTCAACACATCCCAAACAATATCCATTGAAAGTTTAATTCTGAAAGAAGACTGGAATTCCGGGCACTGTTCGATGAAATTGAAATGTTTCCCCAAAATGCGAAGTTTAAATTGACCAAAAAGCAATGATGAACATCCAGAGCTCTTCGTTGTTCCATAACCTACAGGATTCCAGAAAAGATTGTTAACCGTATTGGAGCTTTGACTTGACTGCTTGACGATTCCTGGTCCTTTTTTGCTACAGTTTACCTTTTTCAAAACTAACTGTCTTTTTTTATCTTGTGGGAACATTAAGGTGAAAGCCTGATAACTGCGAATCAGTTTCATGAAGCAAAAATGAATTTCAACGAAGAAACACGGGGTGGCTGTATCATTTTTGAACATAGGAAAATCGACCTCTTCTGAAAAAATAAGCACAAAATTTTTTAGTGTTTTCAACATGGATTTTTGTGTTGATATCTGAACTCGCCATGAAATTTGTCACATTTTCTATCTGGACAGTTTTTCAGAAACTCTATGAACTTTAAGTTTTCGAACAAAATTTTAGGTGGCTGTACATATCATTATTGAACGCAGTGTAATGTCAAAGTAGTGTCTCCATTGTGTAACGTCACTGAGCTAATATGCGGCTTTACCTACGGAAAGGAGCGTGGGAACCGATTTAGACGCGTGCATCGTAATCGTAAACGTAACCATCTGATGTAGACATGCAACTTTTGTGTGAGGTCGAAGGTCGGGTTTTCACAGGTAAAGCTCCTCATCAACTGTGAGCTGTGGTGTATTGCTCGCGGTAGTTCGATATGTTTTGTCATAAAAGACAAGTTTTCATCAGTCTTTCTGATATGGATGTTGCTTCCTGTTTTGTCAAGACCGTGGTTGCATTTACGATAGTTGGTGTTGAGCACTTTGACATACTTAACGATCTCCCAGGTAACCTGATATCAATGATTTTATCTTCTCACAATCAGACAAATCTAGTAATTGGTAAGGCATCGAGAATTGAAGGCTTAGCTTGGGCAGGATTTAATGCGGGATCATGCATGTGATTGTGGGCTTGGATAGATGTGTGACCACTCCTTCCACCTCCATTCAGAACCTTACCAGTTGTTATGAATTCTACAATATTCTTCTGTTGGTATATATTCAGTAATGTGTGTTCAATGCTTGGATTATTTCAGGTTTCCGTGGAGATCGTGGTGGAAGTGGTGGTGGATTCAGAGGTGGAGACAGAGGAGGTGGCTTCCGTGGAAGAGGTGGAGATCGCGGTGGTGGATTCGGTGGCGGATGTCTTCCGTGGTAGCCGCGTGGTGATAGAGCGAGGGATTTTCGTGGAGGCAGAGGGGTGACCGCCGGTGGAGGATTCGGCGGTGGAAGGTATGTTGTTACGAGGATTTTGCCTACTTCGGCATCGGTTAATATTACGAATCTTTTAAGAGGTTCTCCTCGCGGAGGACGCGGCAGCCCTCGTGGACGTGGATCTCCACGCGGTGGGCGAGGCGGTGGAATGCGCGGAGGAAAGACTGTAATCATTGAGCCTCATCCGATATGAAGGTCAGCATTTTTGGCTTTACGAAAATAACCTAAACGTTTTGTGACTGATTCCGCAACAAAAGATTTTCAATACTTTTAGGAGTGTTCATTGTCAAAGGCAAGGAAGACGCTCTAGCCACAAAGAATATGGTCGTCGGAGAGTCTGTTTATGGAGAAAAAAGGGTGTCTGTAGAGGAAGGAACCGAAAAAATTGAATACCGAGTGTGGAATCCTTTCCGCTCAAAGTTGGCTGCTGCAATGATGGCTGGCTTGGAGAACGTACATGTGAAACCGGGTACAAAGCTGCTTTACTTGGGTGCCGCATCTGGCACCACCGTGTCACATTGCTCGGATATCGTTGGTCCGGTTAGTTTTGAGTAGTCTTTTCTTTGCTTTCCAACCTGTATTTATTCAACATTTTCCAGGAAGGTATTGTATACGCCGTTGAGTTTTCTCACCGATCTGGTCGTGATTTACTAAATGTTGCTAAGAAGAGGCCTAATATTGTACCTATCGTTGAAGATGCTCGTCACCCGCATAAGTACCGCATGCTAGTTGGTAAGTGAATATTCGCTTCGTTCCTAACATTGTTTTCTTATCTAGAGGGTCGACCCTATTTTTTTTATTGTTGGACTTGTTATGCCTTAATCACGACTCTTCTAACGCTGCCTACTCATTTTTGAAGGATCTTTTACTATGTATTGTTCATCAAAACTCTCTAAGGCCCTGTTAATAGAGGTCCGCTTGCGCGATGAAACGTAGAGGCGAAATGGAATGAAATATGTCGACTGAGCGAAGACGCACAGGAGAATCGTGAAGTGGGAGGATCGACGAAAATGAGTATCATACGCATCGACTTCGCTCTTGCGATTTTCCGCCTGTCCGTTTCTCACAATCGATACATATCAAACTCTTGACTGAAATTCGCCTGCTCCGGACGTTTCGCTTACGCGTTCCCCAATTTCCTAATCGATGATTATCTAAACCTTGGCGAAGACTTTCAATTTATTTCGACTGCGTTTTTTTTTCGTGTAAGCGAGCATCTCTGAACAGGCCCTAATTGGTCCGGTCGGAATTGACCATTATTGTGAAAGCTTCAAAATAGAAGCGTAGTTGGAAAGGCTTTTTTCAAAGCCACAGTAAAAACAGAAGTTCAGGGTGAAGGACGTAATCCTCAAGCATGGCTGTGTTTTCAGGCATGGTGGATACAATCTTTTCTGATGTCGCACAACCGGATCAAGCCCGTATCGTAGCTTTGAATGCACATAATTTCTTGAAAAATGGTGGACATGCGGTGATTTCTATCAAAGCCAACTGTATCGACAGTACCGCGGAACCAGAGGCAGTATTCGCGGGTGAAGTGAACAAGTTGAAGGAGGAAAAGTTCAAGCCAAGAGAGCAGGTAACGCTAGAGCCGTATGAGAGGGATCACGCTGTCGTCGTGGCCGAATACCGAGCGAAAGGAAGGCAAAGTAGACAAGCGTGTTATTGTTATTGTTGATTTTGATTGATAACATTGTTGATTTGTGCATACGTTGTCCATTAATGCAGATTTGTTACCTCTTTGACTGAAGGAATGATTGTTGATTTATACTGGTAAATAAATGAAAAAGATTGTTGCAGCTGCCTATTCTTAATTTTTAAGGTTCGCGCCTGGTCATACCTTATTACTTCTTACAATTGTTGTATTTTAATGTAGTTTCTTTTGCTATTCTAATGTGGAATTGACAGGGTATAATGACGAGGCAAGAGCCTATTCAAGCTGTCCAGACTTTCGGCCGTAAGAAGACTGCCACCGCAATTGCTCATTGCAAAAAAGGACGAGGTCTTGTCAAGGTGAATGGCCGCCCGCTAGAGCACCTTGAACCTCAAATCCTCCGCATGAAGCTTCAGGTGAGTTTTTCGTGTTTCATTAGGTGTGTTCTTTTCTTCTACTTCATCATGATTGCTTCCTGCTTGCTACGATTTTGTGTACTGCTTCATATTGCTCGGATTTTTTTTTCGGGGCGGAAAGAATACAATTACTTTTCCGTAGGGTGGTTGAGTTGTCGTCCCTCTGCCATGGTATTCTTTGTTTCATATTAGTCTTTTTACAGGAGCCCCTTCTCGTTGTCGGTAAAGAGCGCTTCCAGGATGTTGACATCAGAATCCGTGTGAGCGGTGGAGGTCACGTCGCGCAGATCTATGCAGTACGGCAAGCTCTCGCTAAAGCTCTGGTGAGGTTTTTTTCAGTGAACTGTCAATGACCATTTCAGCCTTTTATCTGTGCTTTTTTTCCAATGTACGTTTTGTTTAAGGTGGCATACTATCACAAGTATGTTGATGAGCAGAGTAAGAAAGAACTGAAGGATCAATTTTTCGCATACGATAAGTCTCTTCTTGTTGCTGATCCTCGTCGCACTGAAGCCAAGAAGTTTGGAGGACCGGGAGCTCGCGCTCGCTACCAGAAATCCTACCGTTAAATGGTTCTGTTTTGTTACATATAAATTGTTACTTTTTTTGCTGTACAGATTTTAATAGAGTAGTTGGTATTTTGAAGTCGTCTTCTCTTCTGTAACTTAAAGAATTCTCTATTCACAGACATTCATTTTACATAATGCTAACTACTGAACTAGACCATTTTGGAATAACAAGAAACGTGAAAGGCACCGAGATGAAGATTGAGCTTCAGAGACCCATAATTGTTAAGAGCCCTATTTTCTATTACCCAGTAGTTCATGAGGTAAGAGGGTACGCCACTAAAATGTGAAGCTCAATAATAACATGTCACAAACAAATATGAGCAAATTCCTGCGATGAGATCGAGTTTTGTGGTTTTTGTTGGCCGTTCGATGGAGGTCATCGAAATCCGCATGTTACTGCGTCGATGTTCGAGGAAAGGCTCGTAATTTCGAGTCGATCCAGGCCACAGTAGCGAAGTTGGTTTTTTCAAATATTGTACGCCACCAGCGAAAACACCACTGGGGCGAGATGCCCATCCCCAGCGCAGGTGACACTGTGAAACGCGGTCACGACAGCCGTGGTGAGCCAACTGAAAGTAGATGTATGAGTGGTCGGTAATAACAAGAAAATTAATAGGAAAACAAAAAAGCTGAGAAACCCTCGACGTTCTGTTTCGTGGAACAACAACTATACAGGCGACGAACGTTGAAATGCCCTCCGAGCAGTGTTCATATAGTTCGTACGCAAAGAGAAAGCGACAAGAAGTCAACACTGGAGTTTGAGGTGCACACTGCATCGTTGCCCCATACAGTAAAAATTTCGCCTACTATGTAGAGTTCGTAAGAGCAAGATTATAGGACGATGATCACTGAGAAGGCTGCTTTTGCTTAATGATTATGTTCGCCTCGTGGGACAATGGCACCCAATGGTGGGTGCCACCTTAAATTTCCTTCTTTGTGCATTTAAAACATTTGTAACACCCCAATAATTATAAGCAAGTTCCATAATATCTATGGCTAGCACGGCTTACAGAAATGTTTATTAAGAGCTAATTTATATAGAATTTTAGAATGTGCCATTTAGCTCGCCAGCATATTAATTGGGGTTTTAATTATTAGGCCGAAGATTAATTACTAATCAGGACTTCTTCGTCTTCTCATAGTCCTTGAGAAGGAGTTTGAAGTGTACAATAATTTTTCTGGACACAAAATTCTAGAGGATTTGCCCACCTTCCCTTTGAAATCCTAGTTCCCCTTCCAAAATTCCAACACTCTTTCCAACAATATATAATATGAAAGGTCTTAAATTGCAGCTGTATTTGGTATACTGCTGAAGTCAGAAAATCAATAGAAAAACTGCTTGAAGAGTTTCCTTCAATTTTGAGCGGAAGTTGAGCGCGCAAAAAGAGTCGTACAAATCGTCGTCAAAGGGGTAAACCGCAGACAGCGAAAAGTGCCACCTCCTTATACATATCGGCCTTCGCAGGAACCAAAAGCAAGTTTTTGCTGTTCAGGCTGATTAATTGTCAGGTAGGTTTCAGATGGCGCTGCTTGCATGCTGAAGCGGCGATTCGGAAATTAATTCAATAGAATAGACATCGAAACTGATTGATAGCTTACCGTAGCTGTGCAGTGATTGAGCGAACACGGCGAACAGTAATAATGTCAACGACGATGGCGTCGTCGTCATGTGTTTGACCGTCCGTCAACTATGTAGGCCCGCTATTTTCTGAAGCATTGTGTGAATAGCGAGGTGCGATTTCAACCAAAAAGTTGGCGAGAAGAGAGGTTCCGGTCGGAAGCTATCATTTGGTCGTTACTACAGACAGTACAGTGACGTCGTACGGTATTTCAATTTCTAACACATGACGACAGAGTGCGTCTTGGCTTTTGGAACAGGCGCGTTTCACTAGGGCGGTGCTTCACTTCACATTATTAGATTTCGAGTGGTAAATACACAATATATGTGATGGCTAGGAGAAGGCGACTTTTCGCGCTGAGAAAAGCTTCACCTAGTAGTAAGAAGACGGACCCCCTCCCGGAGGGTGCGGACTGGCACGCAATTCGCAGCGAAGGATATGCTTCGGCGATCTAGTATGACCATCCCAGCGGCGGTATCGGCGCGGCACGCCTACCGAAGTTAATCGCTCGCCGCAGGTCTCTAGCCGCTTAGCAGAGAGAGCGTTAACGTTGAAGAAGAGAGCACAATGAGAGTCACACACACGTGGAAACCAACGGGCAAGGGGCGTATTGATTCTCGGCTTCTGGGCCCTTTCTCATGGTTTTCTCATCCCTGC